ATAAAATGCCAAGTTCGCTGGTTTTTTTATCGAAAAGTTTATTTGTAGGTTTTTTGTACATTTGACCCAAATTTAGGTTGCAAATTAAATTTGATTTCTAATTTAACGAACTGGGGTGAGCAATTCTCAATTTCTAACCGAGAATCAAACAAAATCGATTCATTTTGGTCGGATTTGGATAGTTGTTTTAAAAAAATTCGATTACCGATTGGTTTGGATATATAGAACTGTTTGGTTTTCAATTTTTGGTTTAACTACCTTAAACTACATAAATAACTAAATGAATTTATTTTAAGCTAACTATAAAAATAATTTGGTCTGAAATACAGAATTCCAAATTGAAACCAACCGATGTAATTTAGGTTTGGATCGGTTATTTAAGATATTTGATTCGATTTTGGATACCATAAATTATTTTAGATAAACTAAAACCGAGACTAATTCAGATTGTTCGATTTGGCTTACCGAAACTCTCACCCCTAATTTCCATCCACTGGAGGAGCAAGTTTGCTACTTCTAAAGCATCACTTAAAGGATACAAACCTCTAAAACAAATATAAAGAGTGAAACCTCTAAAAAATTATGGATTGACAATAAAAAAATCAAGAAAGTAAATAGAGATGGTTCTATTATGCCAAGGTCCATTACAACAACTTTCAATAATGTTGACAGAGATGATACGCTCTAGAAATATAGGGTCTATTGCTCCATTTTTGCTAATCGGTTAATATTAATGGTAGTATGCATGAGGATTTGAGCATGAGGATTGAGGTTTACTGCTAGTGCCTTCATTGTGAAAAGTTGTAGAGACCTCAACTCAATTCCCTAACCCTAACTTTTCAATTAGGGAAATTCTGTAATCTTACCCTTCAACCGCCACCTGCTGGAAAGTCTCCAAAACCTCCAAGCCCGAACCCTTTCTATTGCCTTCAAAAAATAAATTAAGGGTGTCAAAATTTGTTTGGTGTGTTAGGTTTTACACGTCTCTACCTAACACGTGACATGATTAGGGTTAACAGTAGTATGACCCATTTAATAATCATATTAAATATTTAAACAACACGAAAATTAAACGAGTGATACGAATATGATAGTTGTAATCCACTTAATTAAATGGGTCATATGTGCTTCAAAAAATTTTAATCAAATTTAATTAAATGAGTCGTATACGGGTCAGAAACAAGACACATATAACATGTATAACACGCATAAACCACTTAATATATTAATTATAGATGAATTAGATTTTTATTATTAAATAAAAGGGTTAGATGAATTAGACGAATCAACTCGTTTAAATTTATGTTATATATAGGTCACCCGTTTGTAACTTGAACTCATTTAGACTTAATCATCACTCGTTTAATTTTTGTATTAGGTGAATTATATTCTCGTGCCATGACCTTTTTTTCAACACTCCTAAAATCACAACGAAACAACATGGCTTAATGCAGCGTGGTATGAGAATTGAAAGCCACTCACTGGCTGTGGAAATGCTGATGGTTTTATTTGGAATTCCTTTTCCGAAATTGAAAATTTATGTGGACCAGGTGTAGGAGGTGATAGATGAAAACAAGAATTCCAAATGGAGCATAACCTTGGAAAAATACTTACTTATAACGGGTATGTGGCTCCACTTATATACCAGACCAATAAAATTAAAAATTTCACAAAATGTGTTTCTGCTTTATTCTTTATTTTCTGGTGTATATTTAGAAGTATCTCGTTTCAACAAAAGCTCTCGTTTTAATTGGTTTGACCCACTAATGGTCTATGCAAATTAATCACTACAAGAAAAAAATAAATTAGCGACAAACTTTTGTCACTAATTCATAATATTTGGACGCTAATTAGTATTCCCATCAAAATAGCGACAACAAAATTTTGATGCTAAAACCCTTGTTGCTATTTTTTTTAAGTGAACTATATTTTGTTAGTAAATTAGTGACAAAATTTTTGTCGCTAAATTTGTAATTTTTCTCAATAATTGATAAAATAAAACATACACATTTTGAAGGTATTTTGTTGGAATATTGTCATTATTTTGTCACTATTTTGTCTTTTGTCGGTAAATTATTTTTATTTTGTTGTTAGATTTATTGTATATTTTAATAAAATGAATTTATTAGCTACCGGATCCATGGCCCCATCTTTTCAAGTCATGAAAGATCAAACTTTTTTGGATATTGACTTGCCTACTAGGATCCATGACCTCGTGTATGGATCAAACTAATAAAAATATGAAGTTGTAACAAAAAGGGATAAATTAGCTATTTTCAATAGTTTGGTCTATAAGTTTCGCTGTGGATCCAGTCTTGGCAAATATAATCATGGGAAATATTTGGGACCTTTATGCATTGAATATTCAAAACTAGAATGCATTTGCAAATTCAATTTAATGCAAAGTTAATTGGAATTAAAGTATAATTTAGTTGAACATATATTATAAATTAAATAGAAAATTAAAGTTTATAATTTTATTAATGTGAAATAAAATGATATTGAATTAGTAATTATAGTATATGGTTACAAAATAAGTTACAACAGAAATTATCTATCCATAACAACCTAAACAAACTTTATCAATATCTGTTAACTCTTATCTCCAATACTTCCCTCCCTTAGAGTGTTAAAACCAGCAAATACATTATTGTCTTGTGAATTACTTTTACTTTTACTTTCATAATTTATAGAAACCAACTTTTGAAGATTTTGGAAAATTTGAAGATCACTCGCTCTATATATTAATGATGTGAATTATAAATAAAAAATCATGGACCATTTCCATTTATCACTTCATGAAACACATAAACAAATAAATTTAGAGATAAACATGAGAATCTGATTAACTTTTTGCCAAGAGATTAAAAATTGCGAATACAATATTGCAGAATTTACTATATTCTGTATTAGCATCAGCAAGTGGAGATGTAATATCTGGTTTAGCCTTGAAAGCTTCCGAGCACTTCTGCGATCCAGTCATGGCAGCAGTAACCCATTTTGTAAGATCACCGTAAGCTTTAGAATCGAGGGCAGCAAAGCAGCTGAATCCCTTAAGCTTTTCAGTCACTACCTTCATAAAGCCTTAGAGCATTCTAACCCAAACACTTTCCTTTAACGTGTGGTTGGATCTTGGAAGCCTGTTTCCTTGCAATTCAGAAGAAAGCTTGAAATAAGTTCAGTTCCGATTGGTAAGATTTAACACGTAAGTGATCTTGTTCAAGCCTTCAGATCAGTTGCCGAAGATGATTCTAAGATGTTGTTTGCATAGTCTTTAAATAAGGTTTTCTTCACAAGATTGGGTTACCAAATTCCGAGGCTTAGTTGACTTGTGGAATCATTGAGCAAAAATAGAGCAGTAAAGAATTGAAAGACATGTGTTATGAGATTTTTCTTTCGTTTTTTTTTCTTTCACTTGACTTTTTTTTTTTTTTTTCCTGGCCTGGAAGATATTTGGTTTCTTCTTATATATAGAATACAAAATGAAATCTAGGTTAATGTTTTGAGTTTTTTGTAACTATTTCTATTTTCCTTTAGAGATTGAATGTAGAATTAAGGTTACATATATAGAAATATTTGCATTTTTTTACTTCTAAATTAGGTCTAGACAGAAAGAACTTAATCTATTCATATTGAATGATATGTCAAATAAGTGTACAATTTTTTTTTGAATTTGTAACCACACACATCCATCTCACATTGCATCTCCAATAATATCATCTATGAACATGTGAATATTCGGTGTGGTTCAGTATTCACTATCAAATAACATTATTTGAGTCTCAAACCGTACTACTAACAAAACGAAATGAAATAAAAAATTTATTAGTCTCACAACCGTACTACTAACAAAACGAAATGAAATAAAAATTTTAATTTCGGAAAAAAAATTTGGAATTGAATGGATTGTATTTTTCAATTCTAAAACATTTTTGGAATGAAATTGGAATAGATGATTTCAATACTGATAACAAGTAAAATGCATATGATTTTATATACAAATTTTATTTTTTCAGTTGTATTATGAATTATCATAATTAATAAATTAGTCTCATTATTAGTAAATTCCTTCATTTTTGATTTTACCATAAGCTGAACTAATTTTTAATATTTTATGTAAAGAAATCAAAAGAAATAAGTTTTGTTCGATGAATTCAGGTCAGTTCTAATTTATACTTCTAATATGACATTGAGAATAATCATTCAATATGTCATTTAGAAGCATCAAATCAGCTTTTGCGTAGCTACAAATGTTGTTCCCTGGATTACTCTTTACTCAAAAGTTGGTTATAATTATCTTATTACTTCTTTTTTATGGCTTTGGCGATGGAAAAGGAAGGTTGCCCTTTGGTGATGTTTTGGACACTATAAATAGAAAATAAAGCAAAAGGCAAAGAGTTACACACTTTCGCATCTTGTCCTCGACTCACAGCCGTGCATATCCAAGCAAAAGATCACTAAAAAGTAACCGATCAAGGAAGCAACTAGCACCGATCAAGAAGAAGATGATGAGCTTGCAAAACCAGTAAGAAGGAGAGATGGGAGCTGAATCAAAAAGTCTTGGGCATCCAATTCAAGGACGGTAGCAAGAAAGGAAGAAAAATCCAAGTGTAACTTGTCTGTCATGCCTTTATCTCTTTATTTTTATTGGAATATTTTTATGAATGTTGTATTAATATTCATGTATGACTAAACTTTAAATCTAGTTATGGGAAATATTTATTAGATTAATGTGTTCAAGAATGGTTTGATTTATTCTTATATATGCCTATAGTTTCTTCATTTAATACATGTAATCTTAATGTGTAATGACCGGAAAATTTATTTTCACTAATTTTTCATTTAAAAATTTAATCATAAATTCTAACCAATGAAATTCGGTGGAAAATAATTTTATTATTGCCAACCTAGACCTGTAAACTAAGTGGAAATATTGTAAATTCAAGCAAAAACCCAAAATTGAGCCAAATCCACTGAATCGGACCAAACTAGCCTATAACCAATTAGAACTGTCTAAAAGTGCAAAAATTCCCATTGGGTCCTAACCCCCTTCTCTCTTTCCCGTTAACGCCGACCCCAGTAGCTCTCCTCTCCCCTTGGTCTCATTTTTCCGACGATGCTAGCCTTCAACCAACGGGCGTGATCTCTTCCTCTCCTTCGCAGCAGCTCCGGTTACTGCTTCCCCTATCTCCGGCCTGCCAGTCTTAGCGCAAAGATAAGAGAGACAGACAACGATTTGGTATCGCCAGCCAACCTCAAGCAATTTTCGACTACTCTTCAATTAGGTAAGCCGATTATCCTCCCTCTTCACTCATTTGCAAGTTATTTTGTATAGATTGTGCGAATTATTGAAGGAATTGATCAAATGGAACTTAGGGATTTAAGGACAAAAATTTGGATTTCGTTAGATATAGACGTAATTTGTAGTGGTTGGCTATAGAACTGAATCCTATATGGAATTTGCTATGTTTTGGCATATGAGTTGCAAGATTCTGGAATCATGGCACCTCCAGCCACTACGAAGGGCAGCGACGGCGGAGGATCCGGTGACCGGAATTCCTAATAGACAGTATGTTCCAATTTTTATATAGATTCTAGTTTTGCAATTAGTTTTGTACTTTGATATTGTTTAGTGCTCGAATCCTTAGACGACAGAAATCAAAAATTAGGCTTCTAAGCCGTAAATATCGTAGAAACTTAAATTAAGGAGGGATTATATGAACTGTGTAAGCTTGGTTTGGTAGAAATGCAATAGCTAATAATTTAGAATGATTAGAAATGACTATTACTTTGATTTAAGATGTTTGGTGTTATTGATTCCAAATATAGATTATGATATAAGGCTAAATATACATGCGTTTACAATTTGTAGTGGGTAAAAAAATATTTAGTGCTAATTATCGGTTAGTATAGTTGGGTAAAAAAAATATTAGTGGCTAATTATCGGTTTAGGTATATATATAATATATATATATATATATATATATATATATATATAACTTATGTAAATATTGGTATGTTATGAATCCATTCCTTAGTAGTATATATATATACTTATGTAAATATTGATGTATGAATCCATTCCTTAGTAGTCAACTATCCTACAATTTCATAAACTATAAACTTGGATATGGAAAATAGAGATTTCTCTTAGAATGACAACAACCACAAGGGAATCTCCATGGTCTTTAGTTGAGTTAAGCTAAGGATTGAAGCTATGAACTGATTTCTTGAAAGATGACGAAGAAACTGATGTGTTTATTGTAGGTTACGAGAAAAAAAAATATAGAAACAAGAAACAAGATAGTGAGTAGAATACGGGGTTAGATATAGTTTGGGATTTCTGTGGTTATAGCTGCTTCCACATTAATCTATTACTTTAACTTTAAGGATGATGACATGTGAAGTAATCCGGTATATGAATTCCTTTTCAAATGGTGAATTTGTTAGCTAACTTTTATGTGATGAATAATAGAATTCTAGAATCGTCTAAACGGTTATTGAATTGTTTAGCTTTTTAAATTGTAATATGAATAGAGAATGTAAGATTGCAAGTTATTGGTGATTATTGTGATGGGCTATGTGGATTGAATGAATATATAGAGAGTATTTGACATTATATTAACTGGTAGAAAGTCCTATTTTTAGGGAAGGCTGTGTCGAAATTTTGATAGAATCTAGGCTAGTTATATTTAATGGATAAGTTAATAGGTTTGTTTGGAATAATTCTTTAATTTGATATATTTAAAATATTTGATATATTTAAAATAAATCTCTTTATTTTACTTCAGTTTCTTTCCTTTTGCATTATAATTATTAGATTGTCCGAAGTTTTTCCATCACTCCTGCAAATCAAAAATCCGAGGAGCTTCCTTCTTGATCACTACGATATGTGAATACTAATAAACAGGCACTTACCATCTGCATCATTGCATAAGTTACATTACCACACAATGCTTATAATTACCTATTTATTAAATGTAGTTAATTATTTGATTTTTATAGCATAAATATTCATTACTTTTTACTACTTAATATATATGTGTAATTTATGTGGTGCATAACAATATTTGTTAATTAATTTCTCGCATTTAAATGCCATGTTTGAGCCATGTTTGATTAGATGTGTTGTGATGATGATTTGCTGTGAGTGTGGAATTGGGATGAAATGGGTCACCATTGGGTTTATGAGGGCGGTCTTCTATACCGTCGGCCATGTATGGGGAGATTGGCGCCCCCGTGTCCATCTGATGATATAGATTATATGGAAAACCACAGGGTGGCCTCCTATTGGTATGGAAAGAAAAGAGAGCATAAAAAATATGTGAGGGCTGGTCAAGTGAGGATTAGACCGATCAATCATGTATGGGGAATTGGCTCCTTAATGCATACATCATGAGAGGATGGGCCATGTATGAGGACGGCTCATCGGGGGTTTCGGTGACGCCACTGACCAATTTCCACTTGCTTGATTATTTGAAGTTATAATTACTTGTGAGTGTTTATGTTGTGCCATATGCTTAACTGGTGGTGTGTTCATTTTAGTATTTTAGGAAGCATTTCATGTGAATGCTTGTGTTATGCGATATTTATTTCATTATAAAACTCATTCTTTGTTTCACTTTTCCAGGAAGTAGATCCTTCTTTGTCCCCGTTAAAGCTCTATTTCCTTTACCACAGAGCTAGAAAAGTAATTTCCTAATTCCAAATTCCAGTAATTATTTAAATTGTCGAGCGTTATGTACAAGAACTTATTTATACTATTTTGATATTGAACTCTCAATTGTTAGGATTATGAATAATTCCAATTATATACGAGTGTAATCATGTTTATGGGATAATTTGGTAGGTTTGATGATTAGAGAACGCTTATAGGCTGCAATATATGGCCGTTAGCCCAATATCATAGATAATGTGTAATGTAATGGGGCCCAAGTTATAAATTATTTGAAATGCCTTGGATTTGGGCCAAGATATAGTATAAAATCATAAAGATTTATTATATAAAATAGTATGGGGCTTATTTTCATGTTGTCTAATGGTGATGTGATTGAATTTAGTGATTCAAGTCTTACTACGAGCCCTTGAGGGCCTTATGCTTACCTAGGCCCCTACGTGCGTGGTCTGGCTACGGTTTTGGGTGTGACATTAATGCCTACAAGATACATTGGGTCTCATATTTGCATGATTTCTAGACCGGACTTCTATATTAGAAGGATTGACTTGTTAGTCGAAAACTCACGTGTTTAAACTTAGAAAAAATAAACCTTGGATAGGACCAGATTTCTTGAGGGCCCAAAGATTAACACTAACTTATTGGGTTTCAATTCAACATAGTGCCATTGAAAGTAGGTGCATATTAATCTAACACGTTCATTTAGTCTTTGAGAGAGGAACTTGGATTTATAGGTTAGTCCTCTTCACGAAACTGGCATAAACCATATAATCAATCATTCACGGTATGCGTTAAACTAATAAATATCCCGTAGTTAGATTACCTTGATATTTGATTATTCAAACTCTTAAAAATTATTAGCCCTTCCTAATAATTGTTGAACATAAAAAATTAATAATCTATTCCTCAATCTTGTGGCATTCGGAGAATCTTTTTCACTATGTTACCTTGTACGCGTTCGTGCACTTACGAAATATTTGCATTCATAGCCCATCAACTTTTTGGCACTGTTGCTAGGGATTGGGGATACCTCTTGAGACAATTAATTAGGAAAAAATTTTGTTTTTAAAGTATTATTTTCATAAAAAAAACAAGGATAAAAAAATTTTAAAATTTCTTTCCTATTAAAGCAAAGTACATTCCATATATTTTCTATTTAAGTTATTATTTCTATTTTCAAAAAACCAATATAATATATATATATATTATAATATTATATATATAAGTAATAATAATAATATTATATATATAATATTTAACCCTTTTCTTTTACTAACTGTTTACTGTTAGTCATTTTCTGTTTTTTTTTTTTTCCCTTTTTTCAAATTCTATTCTTAATTTTATATTTTCTTTTAGTAATTTAGTTTGATTAATTTTTCAAAAATTAAAAAAATTAAAAACTAAAAAAAAAAAAGTAATTTATTTTTGAATTTTTTAGGTTATTTTCTTTTTTAATTGTTTTTTAGCGAAGCTAATCTTTTATGCTAAAGATCTTTAGAAGTGCAGGGAATTAAAACCTCTTGATCTAGAGATTGAAAGAACATCTGTGCTATAAGAAGGGAGAACCCCGAGATATCAAGTGAGAAGATGAAGTTTGAATAACCAGAAGACGTGGAAGTGCAGACTCGACATTAGAAAGCAACTAAGTGGCTAAACTCACCAGAAATTTCGTTTCAAGATCAGGACTAATACAAAGTTCTAAATAAGAAGACCGACAGGTTGGAACGGATGGCCCTGAAGAAAGAACCTGATGGGAACAAAATATCCCAAAACCATATGGTTGCAAAACCAGCTATAGCTGAGACCACTAGTAGCCGGGTAAACAATTTTCACAAATCAAGCCATCCTTGATTCCTTATGGTGCAACCAGTAGTGATTTGCCGGGCTAACTTGACGAAGATCCCCCCAATGTTTCACATTGCAACATTCTTGGAAGATTTGCGGACACTCTGAAAATAAATGGCGCCTCAGACGAAGCAATTCAACTGAGGGTTGTTTCCATTTTCACTACAAGACAGAGCAAGCTTTGGTTACATTCTATGCCTGTAGGATCATCAACCACTTGGGGATTAAATTGAAGTCGAGCTTCTCTGCAAAATATTTTCCACCTAGCAAGACTATAAGCGCTAAAGGAAGGAAATATCTAAATTTTTTGGATGAAGGAAGACGAAAACTTTATGCAAGGCCTAGGAAAGAATTAAAGATCTCCAACGAAAATGCCGCGCCATGGCTTTGAAAAGTCAGTTTGGTTCAAACAGTTTTATGAATTGGAGCGACCTGCCGAATCATTTTTGGAAAAGTGAAATTCAGAAGCATTTAGTTTTGTTGAAGAAATGGCAGCTAGCAACTAAGATGGAACGAGGAAGAAGTACACTTAAAGAAGGTAGCAGGAAGTCTTGGATGTGGATGGATTGACAGCTCTTATCAGGCTAAATTGGATGCATTGGCCAACCAAGTTTGATAAGCTTAGTGTAAATTACAGTAGCAATGCCAACAAACAGGATGTGAAGCCCCGGTGGGTGGAAATTTTTAATATGCAACGGAGGAATGCCAATTTTGGGATGACTGAATGTATAGTGGAGGGCAAGCCAACTATGGTTCACAATTTTAATTTCCAAGATCTGAGGGCCATTTTCAAAAAACACTTTTACACCAAGCAGTGGAAAAAGTCATCCAAATTTTTCTTGGTCCAAACCAGCAAAAACCAAAATCTTTAGATAGAATCCCAGCCCCTACCAAGACACTACCACCCAAAAAGAAACAAACCCCATCATAATTCCAACCACCCTTACCAGAATCCACCATCGAACCTTGAATGGTGTTTGCTCCAAAATTTCTTATGCAAAACCCCAAAAAGGCAATAAATGATGGGTCTATCAAAGCAACATTATGAATAAGTTTCGTACCATCCTTCGTTTGTCACAGCAAACTTGTAAGCCCTTATACCCTCAAAACAATTTGACCATTTGCAAAGTTTCACCTTTGGTGTTAATATGATCTATCCAGTTGTTGAACATGCTCTCCTCACTTGGCCATGTGACTAGTACAACCATATCATTGTATTCAAGTTTGTTGATTTGAAATTCTCTTGTGACTGAGAAGCCATGAAAACACATTTCGGCTCTCATTCTCCTTCGTGGCGTCAGTGTAGTTAGCTTGGCTATTGATTCTGCTGTGCTTTGGTTCATTCATTTTGATTTTGGTGGCCTTTGCAAAACTGTTTTCAAAAGTGTCCAAATTTCTTGCAAAAAAATCTACATGTACCTTCAATTTTCCTTGTCTGCAATCCTTCTCTGAATTTGGTTTGCTTTTACGGAAAGTATGCAGGGTGGAAACTTGCTGTTTCTTCCTTCTTTTGTGACCGTTTTTCCTTTGTCTTAAAGTTTTATGAAACCAAACTTTTCGGGTTATCTTCTAAATGCTTGTCTTCCCCTTTTTCTTTGGCTTGAGAAGCTTCCTTCACTTGTATTTTCATCTTACTAAAGTTATTAGACATTTGTTCCTGAGCTGTTAAACTGATAAGCTCAGCAACTGAACCAAAAGTCCTAAGATCAACATGATTCTCAAGGCAAATATTTAGGTTCAAATTGGATGGTAGGCTGATAAAACTTTTTTCCACAATTTTAGTTCCTGGAAATTCGTCCCCAACGATCTGATTTATTTACCAACTCTAGCCAAATTAGTTAAGTCATACTCCTTCACTCTATAACCATTCTTTTCAAATTCTAATCACCTCAAACCTCCCTTTTTAGAGTGAGAATCTTAATTATTTTTCACTCTATAACTGCTTTCAAACTTATCTTCTAGCTTATCCAAAGACCTCTTTTTGGAGTTTCACAAGCCATGGATCTTGTGATATAGTTTCTGATAAAACCTGGAACATAAACATGTTCAAAACCTGATCAGGACCTAGAGGTGTTGGATTTGCCCGTCTTATATTAACTTCCCACCAAATTCAAAGCTTTTAAATAAGCTTATTCATTTTAACCCACATTATGGTAAATTTTCTCCATTAAACATTAGAGGATCAGTTCCTAAAAAAGTTGCTACTAGATAACATATTTTAGTGTTTGTTTTTTATCCTCACACTAAAAAGGAAGGAAATTTGCTCACTTTCATAGGACCCTTAAAACCAAGTTGGCTTTGATTTACTACTTGTAGCTTTAAGAAACTCTGATTACCCACTTATAGAAAAAATAGAAAGCAAACACAATGATAGAAAAACTAAAATAGCTAGACAAAGAGAAGAAGTTTTAGAATTAGATCTTCTTCATTCGGAAAACTCTTTTGTTGCTTAATTACAACTATCATTGGGTAGGCTATTTATAGATAAAACTAGCAGTTGTAACAAATAAGACATTTAAACTCTAGTTTTGAAACCTAAGCTATTAATTTACATTAAGAGAAAACTTAAGCTCTAAATGCAAGAGGAAAACCTCTTTCCATTTAATTTTTTAAAAACTACTAAAAACCATTAATGTTTAAGTAAGTAAATTCTTAATACTTTAACAAAAATACTTAAACTTTCTTCTCCTTAGACAAGGGCTTTTCTGTTCTAACATTCTTCAAAATTGATCTGATAAAACCTTACTCTAATCATTGATTGGGGAAGTTCTTTGTTAAGACTAGAAGGATCTGTGACAGGCTAAAAATTGTATTTTCATTCGGGGATCTCCAGTTAGTTGGAAATCCATAGAAACAAAATATTATTTCCCAAAGAAGTTCTGCATGGAGCAAAGTTATAAGCATGTGACAATAAACAATTATATGAGGTTTGTTTGATTATTTTATATACTTAATAGTATTTTAATGTTAATTGTCAAGAAGCCTTGTTGGCATATATTCAGTTACAATATTTCATCAATTGCATATAGCCAAGCATCATGTTTCCATGAAAGAACCAAACAATAGAGCTTTAATTGGTCATTTTATAAGCGGGGAAACAGCTGTTAATATGGGTTGCTCGAGACTTTATATGATGAGTTATAACATTAGTTGGTCTGATTTGATGACCAAAGCATTGCATCTTAGC